TTATTTATCTAAACAAATTAAAAAGTTTTTTATATTCACTATTAAAATGTAAAACATACTGCACTGAGAAAAGTTACTAAGTCTTAAAACATATTTATTTGAATAGTACTGGCAGTAAATATTTACTCGATAAAAAGTAACAGTTAAATCAAATCAGTGATTTTTTATATGAAATAAACATTTATTTATACTTAGTGAATATTTACTTAGAACTATTCAAACAAATATTGTGTGTATTTATTAAAATTCAGTATTTTTTTAAAACAATGATAATTTTTATTTGCCACACAAAATATTCCTATATTTTTAATTTAAATCCTTATATTTTTAATATATTTCAATTTTTTTAAATAAATATGATTTGGTGATTTTATGTGTGAAACGTCCGTTCCATTCATTAAGTAAAATGAAAGTGAAAACTAGCATTGGTCGCTGAGTACTTGCTACACAACTCTTCTCTAAATAAAGCACAAATAAAATAAACGATTGATCCGAAATTTTCAAAGTATTTCAACAATTTTGAATTTCTTAGATTCAAAAATGATTTTGAGTCTAATACACTGTGATCTGACAAAATTCGATTTGAATTCAAACTATTCGTATATATCTCTAAGGTGTAGTCTACTTAATGCTACAAATACTCTGAAGCATTTGTTTGATCAATCAGAAGAGAGAATTTTACTAATTAATCAATCAAAACATGCTTAAGTGAAGATATTTACTGTTGTACGTTAGAAGTAATGTATCATATTAGATTCAGAAAGTTAATACACCATATTTTCAATTTTGGTTTTTAACAGTATATAAAACGTGCGTAATTATTTTTAATTTTTATAAGGAACTGTAGAACTGAGAAATGCTATTTGAAATGTCATTATTTTTTAAATATTAATAGAATGTCTTGCTAACTTTACAGATTCTATTATTTAGTGAAATATATTAGCGCAACATTTTATATTAATTTTAAAAAAATAATGACACTTCCAGTAGCGTTTTTCATATATTTTTATATCTTCTATAGTTTCTTATAAAAATTAGGAAGAATTCTTCGTGTTTTATACTAAAAATCCAAAACTTTAAAAACTTTAGCCGAAACTCTGTTTAAAAATAAAAATACAGAATATAGATCTCTATTACACACACACACATACATATATATATATATATATATAT